TGTTGTCTACCCACTAGATGTCAGTAGCACCCCCCACTTGTGACAAGCAGAAAGAAGCTGACGACGTTGCCATATGAGTATTCTATGTAAAGAGATTATGAAATTGGAACACATTGCCCCTTGTGCCAGAATTGCCTCTGTTTGAGAACCACCATCTCTACTGGACATAAATTTTTAAATCCAGCATTGGGACAAGGGTAAACAGTTGAATTAATGGGGCAGAATAGGAAAACAAAACAAAACCGAAGTGAGCACTCTTGTGCATAGACACTGACTTTATTGCATCTATTACAATGGAATATCTGAGTGGAAATACACGCAGAATACGTGTATTCTGAAATATACACAGAAACCAGCTTTGGTGGATTTTAGACACAATCGTGAAAGACAAAATGACAAAATGTATAGAAAAGAACATACGATTATCTTTATGTTCTTGAAATATGGAAAGATTCTTTAACTAGACACAAGCACTAATCATGAAAGAACTGTAAATTGAATTGTACTAAATTTAGGAATTGTGTTGACAATAGGAAAAGAAAACCATAAAGCACATGAAAATATTTCTAATACCTTTATCACAGAGCTCGTCTAGCTAGAAAGCACAACAAATTTGTTAAGAATCAGCAGGAAAGACTGTTACCCAATAGAGAAATATGGTAGATGCTAGAGCTTGCACTTCACCAGTGTGGCGAAGCAGTAGCCAGAAACCTTGCATATACGCACTCGGTGTCACGAATAATGAGCCGAAGCAGAGCAAAACAGTGCAAGAACGGCTAAAATATAAAGATAGAAACATGAAATGTTGAAGATGAGAAGCAACTAGAACTCTGGTACACTGCAGGTGGAAATGTGAGAAAATCACGTTAGAAATCAGCCTGAGATGTCTGCTAAAATTGAACACATGCATATCCTGTGATCCAGCATTTCCACCCTGAGGTCTGGCCGAGAAACTGTGGATTTGTGCATTGAGAGACAAGTGCAGTCACGTTCACAGTGTGTTATGTAAGAGACCTAAAGTGTGGGGGTCCTTCAGTACCAGTACACTTACACAGTGGAGCTGTAAGTGGCAATGAAAATAACAGCACGAGTGACTCCTGCGAGCATCAGATTCATTGACAGAGGCCAGGCACAGAAGAATGTGCCACAGGCTGGGGATGGTGGCGCTTGCCTGTAATCCTGGTACTCTGGGAGCCTGAGGTAGGAAGATCACAAATTCAAACCTAGGCTGGGCAACGTAGTGATTTAGCAAGAGCCTGCCTCAAAAATAAAATTAAGCAAGGGCTAAGGATGTAGCTCAGTGCAAAGGCCCTGGGTTTAATCTCCAGTACCACTATCTGAATATTTGTCACAATAGCATTTTATGTAATTTCCTTGAACAGGCAAAACTAAATTCTGACATTATAAGAGATAACAGCAGTTTTTCGGTAATAGCTGAAATGTGGAAATAATCCATATGTCTACCACCAGAGAATGAATGGTTGAGTAAATTGTTATATTGTCAGGCAGTGGAATACTAATAAAGTAACAAACCACAATGTGTAGCAACATGGATGAATTTTATAAAGATACTGTTTATAGAAGCCAGACACAACAGAATATATATGATTCTGTTTATATAATTTTTAAACACAGGCAAAAAATGCAAACCCTTTAATGTTCAAGTCAGGACCGGCTGTGTTTAGATAAAGAGCTGGACCTGACTGGGGAGAGGGCCTCTGGTGATGGCAGGTTCATGATCACCACTTGAGCTACACATGCCTGTTGTGCCATTGCTTCGCATGTCTATTCTCAGGGATTTGCATGGTTTGGAGAGAGACAGCGAGAAGGAGAGACCCTGCTCTGGATTCCCCACGTGTGGATTCACATCCCAGCTGCGGAGCTTGGGGCAGTTCTCTTAGCTCTTGCCCTCAGATTCCTGCCTGCCTGGAAGTGAGGACCATAGTCACGTCCACACACAGTGCCGATTGCTATCTCCTGCTATTGTTTTTATTGTTAATGTTGCTACCAGTTTATTTTTGCAAAGGAATTGTTCAACCCCCGTTGAGATGGCGTTCTATTTATAAATCCATCATGGCTCTTTGTGTAGGCGAGCTTTTGTTTAGGTCTTAGAAAAGTTTATCTTATTTACCATAATGCATGTTATTTCATAGGTTAATCACCAGGTTTTAAGAGATGCATTTTATAATTGTAAGTCGAATATTCTTTGCCTTGTATTTTGTAATCAATTATGGCTAGCATATAATAGCTACTACTTGGTATGATTTACTGCTGCCACATTGATTCTAAGCGCTTCATGGATTAACACTTTTAATCTTGTGTGAAATCCCCTCATTTTACACAGGTAGCAACTGAGGAAAAGAGAAAATGATAACCTACTGCATGGCTTGGGATTCATTGTGGTCTCAGAGTTCACATTCATTTTAGCCATTTACTAACTAGCTGTTTTCTCCTAGTCTAATTTTTTAGTTGATGGTGTTTTCAAGAAGCCAATTGTATTATTTGCAGTTAGTCATTTTTTGTATACTTTCCAGTAATTCTTGTCCTGGCCTTCTTTCTTTGACTACAATTTGCAGAAAGTGTTAAAAAATAATTCAGTGAATGGTCTTCTACAGTCTGACTAAATTGGACTGCCTTTTTTCAACCACTGTGAATTTCATGGACTATTGACTTGAAAATGTTTTTCTTTAAAGATGTGTTTTTTAATGATTTAATTTACCAAATGGTTTTTGACTTGTTCTTTTTTATTTTAAAATCCTGGTTGGCTTTTGAACTCTGTATATCAAGTGCCTTTGTATATCTAGGAGGATGATAGTTTTTGTGTGTGGAATTATTAACATGATAAATTGTTATCATGTCTGTTACCCCATATTGAATCATCCTAACATTCTTAGGATTTTTTGCATTTTATTAAATTTTATCTTCTAAACTTTCTGTTAAGATTTTTGCCTATATAAGAATGAGATTGGTCTGCAGTTTTCATCTTTCTTTCCTTTTTTTTTTTTTTTTTTTTTTTTTTTTTT